TCTAGCCGGTGGAAAGGCAAACCGGTTCTTAGTAAGCTTGTCAGTCGAACCAACTCCGAACCAGCTCTGGCTCTGGCTCTGAACCAGCACCCGGTTCTTGTTGGTGGAAAAGGGGTATCTGTGTCTGGTCCTGTGCTGTGCTCTCTGTGTGCAGTGTGAGAGGGGAGTGGCCAGCCGCTAGAGCAGGGGTGTGGAACCTTTTTCCTATCAAGGGCCATTTACAATTTTTTAATATTCTTTAAGTGCCATTGTAATGAGGTTCAGTGTTTGGAAGGAAGAAGACAGGGTCGGCGTGACTGGGACTCGTACGTTTTATTGGAAACTCAAAACTATAAACAAAACAAAAGGTGCGCAGGCAGGGCATTCACCATAGCCTCGTTACAGCACAAAAACAGTCACACAATAACACTTTCCACAGCTTGGGCTCAACTCTTTCCACTAAATCAGCACAGACTCATTCCTCTTTTAGTCGGCCACTCATTCCACTTGCTGTCGGCCACTCATTCCACTTGCTGCTGACCACTTGGTGTCGGCCACTCATTCCACTTGCTGTCGGCCACGAAAAAAATTGTGATTGATATTTTTGCCATATCATTATAATAAAATATTGAACACATATCACTAACCTCTCTAGTGCGATGGTTGGAACTGCTTCTCTTTGGCAAGGCGTCTGATGTCACATGGTAGTGATGATGATGCTACTCGCAGCTGGTTTTCCAAGCTTGAGTCAGTCAGTCTTGAGCGGAATCGAGTCTTTGCAAGAGTCAGTTTTGAAAAGAACTGCTCACAGCAGTAAGTCGTCCCAAACAGAGATGCAAATTTCAGTGCATGTTTCCTCAGAATGGGAAAACCATCAGAATGTACATACAGTTTATAGAACTCGAGCAGAGGGAGGTTGTTGTACTTAGCTTTGAGCTCGTCATTGCTTTGAAGCTCAATAATTTCAAGTTGTAGGTTGTCAGGTACATCAGATGGTTCCACATTAAATGGCGTAGCAAATATCTTCAGTTCCTTTTGTTTACTTTTCATGTCCTGAAATCTCGCACCAAATGCCTGAAGCAGTTTTCAGGTTCTCTGGAACAGTTTTACTTTGTCTGGTGCTAGCAGCTCCGCAGCAGCAACAAGGCACTCTTTCACAAACTCTCCTTCTGAATGAGGTTTCAGTTTCTTAGCAATTAACTCACTCACCACAAAACTTGCATGAGTAACATTGTCTCTGTCAGAATGCGGTCTTGTGAAAACTGCTTGTTGGGCAACCAAACTCCGCAGAAGAGTGTGAACTTTATTCAAACGCATATGTCCTTGCAACTCATCGAGTTTAGAATGTTTTGAGCTGTAATGACGTTCGAGATTTACCTTTTTCATCATTGCAAGTGCATCCCCACAAACTAGGCAGACTGGCTTGCCTTTCACTTCAAAAAAAAAAAATCATTTGTCCATTTTTCTTGAAAAGCACGACATTCTGAATCTACCTTTCTTTTTTTGACAGTCGCCATGATGCATATCAGCGATGACAACCACTACGTGTCTGTTGCGTTCATTCTGACTGTGACCCGGACACAGCCGCATCAAACTTTTTTGCGGGCCGGACGTTCCCCACCCCTGCGCTAGAGCGTCAAAAGCCAATGTGTGCTGCTTTTACCGAGATATTTAATGATATCTTTTGCATTTCTGATCCAAACAACGTCAAACTTGGCACTGTAATTAATCGTGCCCGTAGCAAGACACCTGTCACGTTTGAAATCTATCAGACTAATGGTTCAAAAGATATGCGAATAAAAGACACACCGATAGACGTTCCTGTAATTATAGATAGATATCTTTTTTCACAGATTAAATGTTGGACTCGTTGGAATCAGGCTTTAATAACAGCACAAACCGTGTGCATTTCTCTGAGATTTTTTGTGAGTGGCACTTTCCTTTACACTATTGGAGATGTGGAGAATGTGGAGAACATTCGCAAAGTTTACCTAGCGTTCAAGCAGTTTTTATGGGTTTTGTGGTATTTCCAATCCACATAAGACTCAAGGTTGTAAAAAGCAGAATTTTTTTTGCCAACGCAGGTAGGCTACATTATAATTTTTAATGAAGATGCAATCATGACCATGCCAATAAGTATGACTCAGGCTTCCCTAATGTGATTGGTGCCATAGACTGCACACACATCCCCATCAAGGCCCCAATTAAGGGGATTTTGTGAACCAAAAGTTTGAATGTTCTTTTTTGGGGTAGGGAAATGTCTTTCTTACTGTACAGTAATACTAAGAGCCTGTAGTCAAAATCAGGAGTTGCGTTGGACTTCTTCTGCTATTGTGACACACTCCTGATGTTGTCCTTTGATTCTGTTCTGGTTGAGAGAATCCCCTCTCTCCTGAATGAGCACATGGTTGGTTGTGGGTCAAGGCCTGCTGCCCTGGGGCCTAGTGTGGCCATGCAGGACAGCTATGCGAACGTACCGTGAAGGCTAAGAGAGGGAGGAGCTTGTGTAGAGGCCATTTAAAGTCTGAGAAAGGTCCCACCTCTCAGGGTTGTCTCGACCAATAAGAAGGGGGGAATTTCCAAGCGGGAAATTCCTCTGTTGGGAGGATTTATGGCTCTGTCTCAGGTGTGGTTAGACATAGGCCTTGCTGTTTGTGTCCATTTATACTTGGATAGATGTATCAAACACACACTGCATTCTGTGAGAAGGGGATGTACACTAAAGTGTGAGTAATTAAATGAGGATTGATTAGATAGGAGACACGACACAGGTGAGGTTACATTGACCGTTGGTTCTATCATAAGATACATAGTATCAAAGACAATAGTATCAAGAGACACTACATAAGACAGTAAATCATTCACACAGTGTCCTGAGGTGCATGTTCATTTACAGATAACTTCGTCAATAAATGAATGCAGGAAAGTCTGTTTTAAGGGCTGTGGGTCTTTCCTATGGCCTTTGCTTTTTCCACGTGACCACATTTTTAACAGCAATAAAACCAACTTATCTGATCGTAGTCATGGTAACCAAGACCCTTCTTGTCCTTGTTGGGGGGATGGGACCATAGATCCCAGAGTGAGTTTTAAAGATTACTTGTTAAATTTAACAAATAATTGTATGATTTGTCTCAGTCATTACATCATTTAAAATTGTCTGCTACTCTTTGCTAGCCCTCTCTCCTGGCTTTTGCACACTTTGAGGTGTTCCCTGACGTTTTAGTTAAAGGGGTGGTAAAACACGTTTTTTCGAAGGCTTGATTGTGTTTGTGGGGTGCACTGTAACGTGTTCATGCTTCGTTTTTTTAAAAATTGCATTATTTTTCATATATTTTACCTTTATTCTACACTGATCAGTCCCTCCTTGTAAAACAGTCTGATGGTTTCTGGGTTCTATGAAGCCAGTCCCTCAAAAATACGCAATGGGCTCAGATTGGTTCGCAGTGTGTTGTGATTCTCTAACCGCCTAGTGCATGTTTTCCGGAAACGTCACGCCCCTTAACTTTACCGGTAGTTTGTGCTTTGGTGTATTATAAACAATGGCGTCAATAAAACCAATCGGACCCATAGAATGTTAGTGAAGATGATCGAGCAGAACCTGTTCAAGAACGACTGTTAAACGACGTTTCAGAAAGGTCGAAATCGTTCAAACAAATTATACTACAGTCCTCAAAGGGATTTTTTTGAGTAACGACTGCAGATCTATAGTGATCGTTACTGACTGTATGGCACCGTTACTTTTGTATTTTTAGAACGGTTGTAGCCAAATATCTGTCGCCAGAACTATTAACCCAAAACGAACACTAAACATTGGCTTTACTACAGTAGCCAAATCAAACATAGAACCATGTTTAGCATGCCTGTAGATAAACAAGCATATAGATAAACAATACATAAAAGCTCTAATTTACACTAATTTCAAGTTCGCTGTTGAGATTAAAAAAAAATTTGTAACGTTTGGTGTTTGTCGGATAACGTTAAGTATGATTGAGCATTTAACAAACTGGTTTGCAGAGCCAAACAGCGTTGTCATTTGTTTACTTCCTTTCTACAACGTACAATTAACAATACGAACTATTACAGGAAAACACATCGACGAAAAATAAGTCATACTTACAGGTTGTGGCCCGTAAACAACAGCTTCTGTTCTTAAAGTTGGATCTGCTCCATCTTTCAGCACAATCCGTTGTGCGAATCCTGCATTGAACTCGTGAAGATTGTGGAAGCTTTCCTCCGTAAAATGTGCAGCACAGAGAGCGAGATTTGGGGAATAATTATGAGGGACCGAGTTAAAAATAAGTTTTAACCATTGATCCCTAACTCCCCCGACCCTAGGTTAGGCTGAACAAAGTGGACCTGCAATCCGGATGAAAACAACAGTGTTTCGACGGCATTGTGGCAACAACTACAGCCTACTATACCACAACAACTCTTCTCCAAAGCAAAAATGGCCTCGCCCCCCTTATTCAGTATTCTCGAGGGGTTTATGTAAATATTGGGGTTGGTGATGTCAGCAACCCTGGAGGAATGTCGTGTAGTCCCTACCGGCCGTTTGCTGTAGTCCTTAGAAATCGATTTCTTTAAAAGCAAATATCTCCCTTGGCTTTGAACTTTGAACAAGAATTCTTTCAAACACATCAGATGTCGAGTTTCATCTGGTTTTGCACAATTGAATGAGCTGGAGTTTTGGAAATTGCATTTGTTCTTGTTTTGCCTCCAGTGCCTTGCATGTAGGGGTTTATTGGTTGAAGTGCCTGACAAGCTGCCCAGCTGTAATCATAACCCGATGCACAAACACATTAAAACTGTCATTAACCACTAGCTTAAGTATATGTGCAAAACTGGCTACTGAGTCGCATTGTACCCATCCGGGAGAGTTTGCTGCCACAATGTTTGTGAATTATCGTAAACGCATGCAAACACTTTCCCAGTTAGTCATCAATTAGTTAAGCTGTGAGGTTGTCAGCTGTGTGTTGCCATTTAAACTGGTGTTAACTTGTATTTGTCTCTTTTCACTTTAGACCTGAGGCCACTGAAAGAGGAGAGTCAAGAATTGAATAATATGCAAGATGAACATCATGATTTCAAGACTGAAGAGAAATCAATCATGAAACTTCACACTGGAGAAAAGCCTTATACTTGCTCTCATTGTGGAAAGAGTTTCAATGAAAAACTAAACCTTAATGTCCACATGAGAATTCACACTGGAGAAAAGCCTTTCACCTGCCAACAGTGTGGACAGAGTTTCAATCAAAAACAAAACCTTAATGTCCACATGAGAATTCACACTGGAGAGAGTCCTTTCACCTGCCAACAGTGTGGACAGAGTTTCAATCAAAAACAAAACCTTAATGTCCACATGAGAATTCACACTGGAGAAAAGCCTTATTCTTGCTCTCATTGTGGACAGAGTTTTGCACATAAAAGCACCCTTGATTCCCACATAAGAATTCACACCGGAGAAAAACCTTATACTTGCTCTCATTGTGAACAGAGTTTTGCAAATAAAATCACACTTAAAGTCCACATGAGAATTCACACTGGAGAGAGTCCTTTCACCTGTCAACAATGTGGACAGAGTTTCAATCAAAAAACAAACCTTAATGTCCACATGAGAGTTCACACTGGAGAGAGTCCTTTTACCTGTCAACAGTGTGGAAGGAGTTTTGCTCAAAAACAAACCCTTAAAGACCACATGAGACTTCACACTGGAGAAAAGCCTTTTACTTGCTCTCATTGTGGACAAAGTTTTGCACATAAAGGCACCCTTAATTCCCACATGAGAATTCACACTGGAGAAAAGCCTTATACTTGCTCTCATTGTGGACAAAGTTTTGCACATAAAAACACCCTTAATTCCCACATGAGAACTCACACTGGAGAAAAGCCTTATACTTGCTGTCATTGTGAACAGAGTTTTGCATATAAAATCACACTTAAAGTCCACATGAGAATTCACACTGGAGGAAAGCCTTATACTTGCTCTCATTGTGGACAGAGTTTTGCACACAGTAGCACGCTTAATTCCCACATAAGAATTCACACTGGAGAGAAACCGTTTATTGGAATAAAAAAAACGTTCACATGTGATCAGTGTGGAAAGAGTTTCACACGTAAAGGAACCCTTAATTGCCACATGAAGATTCACTCAGGAGAAAAGAGTTTTATATGTCATTGTGGAAAGAGTTTCAGTCGTAAAAATAGCCTCAACACTCACATGGGACTTCACACTGGAGAGAAACGTTTCATCTGTAAACTGTGTGGCAAGAGTTTTTCAAAAAAGGGATATCTTAAGGCTCACACCAGTGTTTGCACAGGAGAGAAGCGGTTCAAGTGTTGAAAATTCTGTCTTACTGTGAAATGGCACAATGTAACTGAATGTTTATACATCAAATTACAAAAACTAAATGAAATAGGCACATTACACCACATTATTTGCTTCATTTTTAGTGAGAGAATCCATTGGTAATGTCTTCAATCTGGACTTGAATATGGCTACTGTTGGGGCTCATCTGGTGACGTGGAAGTTTGTTAGAGCTGCAGGTGCCTCACCACTGATCCTGCCTCACTGCTAATTGCGTGACGGGGACTTCTTCCAGATAGTGTTTACCCATTGCAAAATGTGTCCGGAGAGCAGAGAGATGAGATAAATGCCATGTTTGCTCGAATCTTGTGACAGGGATGCAGAAGCTTGTTCTTCATGTGATTCAATTTTATCCCACTTTATAACACTGTATCCCATCGTGGGACCAAGAACACTATTGTCAAGATTACACTCTCCTGACGCTCCCAGCTATACGTCACTCACACTTACCAGAGTTCTCAAGCTCACCTATTCCCTTTTATCCCTTCATCACGGACACTATATCACCCCAGCACAGACACACAGTCAGCATCTGATCTCTCAATTGTATTACCCTGTAAAACTGTACGAGTAAGACAAAAGAAAGACTCTTCATGACCGATTTGAAACTTCCAGAGTATTTATCTAGATGTTCATGTTCATTAAGATCCGGGGAGTTGCCTGGTCACAGATCCAAAATGTCAATGTAATGAACACCGAGCCACTTCATTATGTGATGTGATTTGACATGAAGGACAAGTATGGTAGCCCATGCTCGGAATTTGTTCTCTGCCTTTAAACCATGCAAGTTAGTCCACACACATTAGGAGTAGTGAGTAGTGAACACACACACACCCAGCCCGGACACTCAGCCATTTGCTGTCCACGAGTGCCCCAATTATCACTCTTGCCTTGACATGGTGGTCCATCATCCTGGAAAATGCAAGGATCATCATCAAATTGCTCCTGGGCAGAATCGACCCTTCGAAGGGAGTTTTATTTACAGGCAATCTGACCAATAATGATCCGCCGATCATTCCGCCAATTTTGTCCAACAAAGCAGGAGAGTTAGTAGATTAACGTTGGAGGATTTGAACTTAATGACCTGCCTTCGGTCTGCATGGGCATAAATATTGTTATGTATGCTGATGACACAGTTTTATATACCCATGGGAGAAGTGCAACAGACGTAGCCTAAAAGTTATCAAGTGTTATGAGCAAGGTCAGTGACTGGCTATATGACTCATGCCTCACATTATATGTTGGGAAAACTGTATCTATGTTATTCACAAACCGGTCTAAACTTAATACTTATCCGGAAATTTTAGTAAGTGGCCAATATATAAAACATGTAAATAAATTTAAATATCTGGGGGTAACCCTAGATTCGACACTTCACTTTATTTTAAATCCATCATAAAGGGTTTTTGAACCGCTCTTAGTCTGACCTGTCACCTAGGGCCTGTTTGCCTTGGCCCCTCCTTGAACTGCAACCTTACCGTGGTGGAGGGGTTTGAGTACCCGAATGACCCTAGGAGCTATGTTCTCCGAGGCTATCTGCCCCTGGTAGGGTCTCCCAAGGCAAACATAAATAACATTGTTTCATTATTATTATGACTACATGGAAATTCACATGATAGATTCCAAGGTTTTATGATTCTGAACTTCATACATTTTTCTTCAAATTGGAAGTGGTTGGCCTTAAATATCTAAAGTTGTTGGGGATAGGGGCTGAAATAAGCCTTTCACATCTGTCTCGATTGTGAAGTTTTCTTTCATGGACCATTATATCACAGTCTGCACAGTACAGCTGTTTAGGAATGCAGTCTTTACAGCGGATAATAGACCCCTTCAGTATGCAGTGCTGGCACTGCTTAATCTCTGTATACTCTGCCGTTAATAAAGACTCCACTATCTCTGGCCTCAAAGCTGCCCACTTCTTTTACCTCTGGGCCATGCGAACTGACCAAGTGTTTGAGGAAGTCGGATTTGAGTACTGAATGTCTTCACTATCAGCTAACATATCATCTACCTCTTGATTAAGAGATTCTGTATAAGAAAAAATGAAACGCAATTATATTATACATGGCAGTTGGTTAGATTGATAATTACAAAGCACTAATGACACAGTAATACACACCTACAGTGCTGGTCAGAACTATTTGCCCCCTTGGAAAATATGATCAAAGATGGCTGTAAAAAATAAATTGCATTGTTAATCCTTTTGATACTTTTTGCAACCTCCTTTTTCCAAGATAACAGCTCTGAGTTTTCTCCTATAATGCCTGATGAGTTTGGAGAACACCTGACAAGAGATCAGAGACCATTCCTTCATACAGAAGCTCTCCAGATCCTGCTGATTCCCAGATCCATGTTGGCGCTTCTTCTCTTCAGTTCAGCCCACTCCTTTTCTATAGGGTTCAGGTCAGGGACTGGGATGACCATTGCAGATGCTTGGTTTTGTGCTCAGTGACCCATTTTTGTTTTGATTTTGATGTTTGTTTTTGGATCATTGTCGTGTTGGAAGATACAAACATGGCCCATTATAAGATTACTAGCACAGGCTGTCGGGTTTTGATTTTTTATCTGTTGGTATTTGATCGAATCCATGATGCCATGTATCTGAACAAGATGTCCAGGACCTCTGGCAGAAAATTAGGCCCACAGTATTAAAGATTCATCAGAGTATTTTATTTTACACATTGGGTACTTTTTTATCCCTGTGTGCACCAAACCCATCTTAAGTGTTTGCTGCCAAAAAAGCAATTTTTTTTGTTTCATCTGACCATAGAACCCGTCCCGTTTTGAAGTTCCAGTAGTGTCAGTTACTTTTCAAACGTTCTATGGACAGATAAAAGAGATAAGGTTAGTTGTTTTACGAAAACATTTACAGTGGGTAGATGAAACAGACCCCTTTTTTTCTTTCTTTTCCTCTTCAATATCCCCGTTAAATTTAAAAACAGATGTCATTTGTGGCATTCATATCAGCTTAGGGGGATAGCCGATAGCGTTCGCGTCTTGGTGACACGGGGGGCCAGAACTGTTGCCCGACAGAGGTTTTTTTTTTGCATATCTAACTCCTCAAAGCTAGATGCATTTTTAACATTTAACTCCACAGACTCAAATGCAGTCAGTAAATGAAGCAGACAAATTGTTAGATGGTCCGGTTAGAATATACTGAATATCTGGATCAGTTGCCCACAGCCGTAGAGAGATAAAGGTTCCCGAACAATATCCTACCATTTTCTGCTGAAGCGTACATAGGACATGTTATCACCTATTTATCACCTATTTATCTGACTCCACCTATTGCTTCTGCACTCACTTTTGCAAAGTCAATAAAGTAACTAAGGCTGATTCCTTCCTGGTTCCTAGGATGGAAGATTGTGTGGACACTGGACAGGGTTGGTAATGCCAAGTTTGTAATGAAGCTAGACCTCCTGAAAGGATACATGCTGGTTCCTCTGACTCTGAGTGCATCAGAAATCTCAGCTTTTGTCACCCCAGACAATGTTCTGCAGTATACTGCCTTACCTTTCGGTATGAATAATGTTCCAGCCATGTTCCGACTTTTGATGCATAATGTGTTGGCAGATGTGGAGAACTGTGAAGTGTAGATGACATGGTTATCAATTCACCTAGAACATCTCTCCACCCTCAAGAAGTTTTTTCAGTGTGTGGCTGATGCCTCGTTGACCTTGAACCTTGCCAAGTGCGAGTTCGCGAAGGGAATGATCACCTATCTGGGTTAACAAGTTGGCCAGGGGATGGTGAAACCTGTCTAAGCCAAAATCACAGTTGTCCTTGAGTACCCTATTCCCTCTAATAAACTGCATGAACTGCGCAGGTTCCTTGGAGTGTGTGGATACTACCCAGGTTTTTGCCCCAAACTTTTCCTCTGCTGTGTCGCCACTAACTGAACTGCTAAGCACTGCAAAAAGATTTATCTGGAAACCCAGTTGTGAGCATGCTTTCAATGCAGCGAAAGACTTACTCTGTAGGTATCCTATACTCTAAGCCCCTCAATTCAATGCCCCATATAAATTGCAATTTAACGCCTCAGCTACAGGAGTTGGTGCGGTCCTGCAAGAGGACCAATTCTGTGTAGAGCATCCTGTTTCGTACTTCTATAAAAAGTTATCAAGGTGTCATCAGATCTATAGTGTTATTGAGAAGGAGGCATTGGCAATGTTGATGGCACTGCAGAAGTGTATTTAGGTGGTAGTGCTGCTCCGATAGTTGTGTACACAGACTATAATCTGTTAATTGTTCTTGAGTGCATGTCAAACTCAAGTCAGCGGTTTATGCAATGGTCTCTTGCTATTTAAGAATTGAACCTTGACATCCATTACAAAAGAGGCTCAGACAATGTTGTTGCAGGTGAGTTTTTTTAATGTCATACATTTTTAATAATGACATGTTAATGGTCTTAATTTCTAATAGTGGAAGTGAATTGATGACCGTTTATAATAAACAACTTTTGTTGTTTATAATCTTAATGGTGGGGGTGTTACGTCCCGTGACGTAATAGGCTTTATGCACAGCTGCACTACTTCCTGAACTTCAGCCAGCCCTTTGTTTCCTGTCTGTCATTATTGGACAAACTGATTAATCCAGGTGTGCCTGATTATTGTTACTGAGGCCAGGCACACCTGGATTAATCAGTTTGTCCAATAATGACAGACCGGAAACAAAGGGCTGGCTGAAGTTCAGGAAGTAGTGAAGCTGTGGCATAAAGCCAATTGCTATTGTGTATGGTGTGCTGGTGATGTTTTCTCCCCTCCCGGTCATGCAGCGCTCCAAACCATCCGCAGCTGATCCTAATCTGCCGAGAGCGTTGCAGATATAACGCAGCAAAGAAACAGAGCTTCGAGAGAGTCGCTCTTCTGGTATTCCAGACAATGTGTTGTTTAATTGCTGTTGAGCAACTTTTAATCTGTGAACCTGTTGTGTGATTACAAAGACGTTGCATTAGACTCTGTGTGAGTTTGATCAGTAAAACATTTGGGTTTTACCCACTCGCAAATTGTTCTCCTGTTTTTGCATTAGTCAGGCAGAGAGGGAAGACAAACTGTCTTTTATGTTCTTTTGTTAGGGAATTTATGTTGCTTAAACCCTTTAAAGCGGAATCATGGAGTTCAAAAGACTGGTTTATTCTTTAGACATATCCTCATTTATGCATGTCTATAATGTGTGCTGTAGTTGAGAAACTTTTAGGAATATTATCCAAGATGTAGGCTACTCAATATTGGTGGTCAGTCATATCCGACATAAAAGATCCACAAATTAAACTGTGACCTCAAACACCATTAATTTACGTGAATGAAAGGCAATAATCTGCAATATGTGTTCACATAAAAGTTTTATCCCACTACAGTATGCAGCAGTTCTGTCTTTACTATGTCACGTATGGACTTATTGTCATTCACATCCTTGCAATGCACTGAAGTTATGTGTAACGCTTCCTTTTACAGTGCTGTTACTATACTACTGTATGTACTTATTATAGTAATTATAATTACTGGGTAATAACTAGGTACTAACCCTGAACCTACCCCTAACTCATGTATTTACCTTATATTAGCAGGACTTTCTAGGTAAGTACACTGTAATGTTATGTAATATAGTTTGATTGAAGCTTTAGTTCCTTTTTGTACATTTATACCCCAACATGAATATGAAGATCAGTTTGTATTCACTCCAGATGCTAATGAATGCAAATGTTTATTAGATGTTTTAAATACATATTGTATATTTAATGCTCTAGATGGAGATACTGAGGATAAGCAGGCATTAGGAGGCTGTCCGGTCAATCACTTTACATTACTCTTCAAATTACACAAATTGAAATTGCGAGTTGAACATACGCCCAATGGAAACACGTCAATTTCGCAAAAACTCCCAGTTATCGCAAACATTTTTTAAACTTTTGCATAATCTGATATTTTAATCTTATATCTCTTTTGTAACAGTTGAGATAGTTATTTAATGCTGATCTAACTAGCAGAGGACACTCTCCAGTTTAAATCCCAGTTGTGCTGGTGGGGCATGTTGTCACGCTGCTTTACAATGAGCCCCTATTAGAACTATGATATTCTATA